TTCCAAACAGTGATTAAACTATTCATTATATTCAGTAAACAGGTTTGAGAGTCGCTAGAAGATACCAGCTGATTGACAGAGGTGTTTTGGGGAGTGGAGCCTGAGCATGTTTAAATAATTAGACCATGCTTTAATAATTATGTACTGAAGATCTGTCTGTTGCAGTACATTTTGAGAATACATTTGTATTATTTCAGAATAATGTTTTATTGCTAGATACCATACTGCGCAAGTACAAGGCTGAATAAATGCCCAACTGTTAAAAAGCATGCATTTTCTTCAAATGCTCCATAATATTTTTTTTGTTGTTGTTTGTTTGTTTCTTTTTCTAATCTGCTCTCTATAAAAAAGAAATTTTAAAAAAGTCAACTCTGAAAATTGGTCATATCAGGTGATGGTTCAGCATTTTTAGCTCCTGGTATTCCTCTTCTCTGACTTGCAAGAGAATCTCTTTGGGTGTCTCATACCAACCGATTTGTCTAATGCAGTGATGACAGCAGCAGAGTACATACATGTGCTTGGATTTCATTCCTCACATACTGAGCAACATCTCAGCATCCTCCTGGTTGTCTGTTCTGTGTGTCATTACTCTTCCACCTCATGCAAGACTCTCATGGGGTCTTCCACTCCTCTTTTCATTAGTTCTTGAGCATTTCGCTATCTGACATGGTTTTGTCCTCCCAGTGTTCTTGTGAAGTAATTCCACATTTGGAAATTGATAACTGAGGTACCAAAGGGTGACTATCCCAAGCTCATGCTGTAAGTTAGTGGACATACAAACCACCCCTAAAGGTCACCTTATCTGCCAAGCCATCTATAATTTATACCATTGCATGCTTTATCTTCTTCTCACACTATCCTTTCTCTTCCTTCTCCATTTTGCCTTCTAGGTATTAGAGAGGTTTCTCACTGAACTACATGGGAAATTCCTTTTCCCTCTTTCAAATTCCTTCAGTGCTTATCTCATTGCCAAAAGCATCTTGACAACTGTGAGCTTATATTAGGCCAATAATGACTCTTAGCTTTTCCCAGAGTCAGGAAAGACCTTCAACATCAACAATGGAAATAAAGTAAGTAACCACAAAAAGAGATGTTATTTTGAGATGTGTCTTTGGTGGCAACAACAAAATGGAAGCTTTTGATCAACTGCAATGCTCTTATTCACAGATCATCTTGGTTTCTTGTCAGCAATAATAGAAGTGATGTTATTTTCTGTTTTCCAATAACACCTTTATGTCATTACGTTATTTTTCATTTTCAGATGATACTTGTGATATAAGACATAAATCAAGCCAAAGCAGGGAGAGGACTTGATAGAAAGACAATTTCCCTTTCAGTGAGTGAGTGACCTTTCTAAAAAGTTCAGAAGCTGTGCTCAAAAGCCGTTCACTTACTTTATCAAATGATAAATAAGTACTTTCAACTTTGACATGTTGCCAGTATCTGTTTCTCTTGTTCAATTTCTGCAGAAAACACAGAATAATGCACGTACTAACTATGCTTATTGACTAGAACAGCTCTCTAAAAGTGATCCAAAATGAAACCTCAGTTTCATTTTCTCCCCAATATTTTGATGATGTAAGGAGGTGTATATTTACAAAAGAAATTTTGAGATATTTCATTCTTTACTTGCATGTCATAAAATTTCCTTTGCAATCTGGTTTATTGGTAATAAAAGAGATTGAAATGATTAAGAGTTTCCAGAGTAACTGAAACTGCTTTTCCATGTTTCAATACTGTACATGTACATGTATGTAAACTCTACACCTTCCCCTCCAACAAATCCTTGAAAACCATATGGATATAACCCTTGCAGAACTTAGACCTTTACTGAAGGAATGCAAAACAGGAAATTACCAAGGTATGACTTAAGGAAGGGCCTTACAAGCACAATAGACAAAATTCCATTTTCCCCTTCCCTATTCTTCCTTTTTACTCATTTTTTCTATTCATTTTATCACACACAACCACAGTGGTCCTCTCTTTCTCTAATAAGATGTAGGTCAGTAGTGCTATACCTCAACAGTGGATACTGCAGCTGATATGGTTCAACATCTTCATTAATTACCTAGATGATGAGACTGAGTGAACCCTCAGCAAGCTTGTAAATGATGCAAAACTGGGAGAGGTTCTTTATAAACGAAATGGTTATGCTACTTTTCAGGTCCAGGACCTTGACAAGCTGGAGAAATGGGTAGGGAGTAATGAAGTTTTGAAAAAGGGAATCTAAAGTCCTGTATCTGCACAGGATAATCCATGCTCTGGGGGCCAACAAGCGGGAAAACAGATTTTTGGAGAAGAACCTGAGAGTTATGGGTGACAAAAATTTGAACATGAGCCAGCAGTGTGCTCATGTGGCAAAGAAGGCTGACAGCATCCTCACTTGCATCCTCACTTGGACAAGCATTGCCAGCAGGCTGAGGGAAGTGGTTCTTCCTCCTTACTCAGCCCCATTGAGACACATCTCTAGTGCTGGGTTTGCTGGCTTTCCTGACACAAGGGAAAGTGAGACTTACTGGAGCAAGTTCTTTGAAGGCCAATGAGGATGTTGAAGACCTCAGAGCATCTATCATATGAAGAGAGGTTCAGACAGCCTGGGTTATCACCTCAAGAACAGGCCTGGAGGGGGTCTTATACATATGCAAAAATACCTGATAGAGGGGAGAAAAGAAGATGGAGCCAGTCTGTTCTCAGTGGTACAGTGAAAGGATGAAGGATAACAAGCACAGACAGAAATTAAGAAAATTCCCTTTAAACAAGAGAGAAAACTTTCTTACTGTGACAGTGGCTGAACACTGGAACAACTTGTCCCTGACAAGTTGTCAGGACTTGGCCTGAGCTCTACACAGTTTTTATAACTTTGAAAGTATTTCAGAATACCACATTTATTGATATCAATGTTTCATCCTGTTGTGTCCAGAGCACCCATCTGAATCAGAGTGTTTTCTGTTGGCTAGACTGTAATTTTTCTTCTACTTACTGGTGCAATGAACTGTACATATTTTTTATTTTGCAAACTTTAGACAAATTTTGCTTTTTCTCACAATATCATCCTGAATCTCACAAAATTTTTTTCTTGTAATGTACAAAAGTTCATTGTCCACTTAAAAAAAAAAAAAAAAAAAAAAAGTAAAAATACTTAAATAAAATAATAATAAAAAAACTTGAACTAATGGCCAATAGATTCTTAATAAAAATGATAATAATTAATAAATGCTATTTTCTGGTTACTTATGTAAAATTACTCTAGACATAACAGTACTTCTTCCCTCTTTACTTTTCAAAGTCAGAAACTGCTCCAGCAGTCGTTCTTTCAGGTCCCCAGTAGATGATAGATAGGTAGATAGATAGATAGATAGATAGATAGATAGATAGATAGATAGAAGCAAAAATGAACAACTGAGAAGAATTTGAAATCACAGAATCACAGAATCATCTAGGTTGAAAGAGACCTCCAAGATCACTTAGTCCAACCTCTGACCTAACACTAACAGTCCTCCACTAAACCACATCACTAAGCTCTACATTTAAATGTCTTTTAAAGACCTCCAGGGATGGTGACTCAACCATGCAACCAAATGCAATGTGCACTCTTGCCAAAAGATTGTAATGAAAGCAGATTTCCAGCTGAAACTAGTTTTAATTAGCATAGTTGATGGTACAGCTTTTGAGATGCCCCAAATTCTTGAATGTCCAATGTAGTGACTGTAAATATGCACAGAGCACAAAATTTGGTCCCTAATCTTTGCAAGTATCTACACAATAAAAGGTATTACTTATGGGCTATTCACTTCGTCATAAAGATTTGTAAGGTCACAGTCATGGAGTACAGTGTCGCTCACAGCATACATTCCAGAGATCCCTTAATTTCTATACTTCACTGTATATAAAAAATACATTTTCCCAGTCAAGAAAGCATTCTTGACAGTTTATAAAAGGTAGCTGGATAAACATTATGGCAAATATATTTTAGAATCTTCTGAACTGTAATGTAATTATTCAGAGTTAGTTTTGGGGGATTTACTTATCACTAGCAATGACGAACTTATGAATCCTAGAACTAGCCTATTCCTAGGCACATATTTATATGTGGTGACACAATATTCAAGTTTAGGTATCTAAAGTTAGAATTCAATCCATGCACAAAGAAATAAAAGAAAAGCGAGCTGATTTTAGACTGTACTTGTTCTAAGCAGTGCAAAGAAGAGAGAAGTGCAAAAATACAGGTGGGGAGCTGGAGGAAAGAGGAATAGAAATCATGAAAGATTAAATTAGTGCTATTTATGGGCAATCAGCATCGTAGAATTAATGAATGCTGGTTAGATAAAAGAAGCAGCTATCCAGAAGGACTTCTTTGTATAGAACTCAGGAAAACACTGAGTAATGTGTTGTACCATTATGTGGCATTAAAGTTAAGTGAAGCCAGGTAGGTAAAAATAACAACAGCCCCAAATCACATTTTGATTATGACTCTTGAATAGACAAGGGGTTCACTGGATTATTCAAGAGTAAGATATAATAAAAATAGGTTGAAACAGCATAGTTCTATGAAATAAAATAACAGGAATACTACAGTTGTTATCTCAGCTGAGTTTAGACAGATGAAAGTTAGAGAAGAAATAGAAATGGAACTGAATGAAGCTCCTGTGGTTTTTTGATAAACAATTCCAAAAACCGACTTTCTGGTAGACCAATCCTATGCTAGTGAACAGTAAGAAGAAACATTCCTAGGCAATGAAACACAACTGTCTGCACCATTGTAATGACATTATTGCTTGACACAGCTTTGACTTGAGATAACCATCACTTTCCCAAATAACTCTTGGGTACAGTCTAAGAATTTATATGAACAAGGAAGATTCCCATTAGGGAATTTTCAGATACTCTTCCTATTTTGGAAGCTAAGGGAGTTCAACAGTAAAGGGGCAAGTTATTTTGTGCCATTTAGCCCCAGATCTAGAGAAGTTAATTTACTAGTTAAGATGCAGAGGCAGTCTGACCTGTAAAAGCAGAATCTGCAGACCCAGACCCAAGGGTAGCTTTTCTTATCAATTCAGTGGGACGTGGATCCAAAATTGTTAGGCTGAAGTGGTCTAGAAAAAAATAAAAATTAAAAATTAAAAAAAAAAAAAAGAATGATTTCCCTTGCTTACATATGAGGGATGGAATATATTTTATGCTAAGAGTAACATATAATACACTTTTAATATATGTTAAAGAAAAAACTGTATGATCAATTCAGTTAATTAGGTATGTCAAAATAAAGGTCTTAATAGCAAAAAGATAGGAATTAAATCATGTTTAATCCCTATAGGTCCTCTAAAGGCCTCCCTGAGGATCAGAACATCTTGCCTTATGCATGAGGCACAATAAGCACAGAAACACAGGCTACATTTTGCTGTAATTGTTAACCAAATGTTTTGTCTGAAGTTACCACCTTGAGCAGAGGCTATGAACAGCAAAAGGCATGGCACATGGTCAGTTGCTAGCTCAAGTATTACACAGTTGAAGTTAATAGCTCTTCTTTCTTTGAAACAAGATGTGTATTTATGCCATGCTGAGTACAGTCTTGATATTCAAAAAATTTGTCACAATATATGCCATTTATAAACTGAAATACACCTCTTGTTTTGCACAGAGATCATTTCATCCATCACTACCAAAGGCACCTAAGGAAAGTCCCTGGGAACTGTTACACCACACAGTATTACAAAAGCAGTTCTAGCCAAGAAACAGACAAAAGTAATGTCCTTCCTAAACTGAAATTAAAGAGAAATTTTTATGAAGAGAAAATGAAATTTTCCCAGTTGCAGTAGGTCTAGACTGAAAAGTTGGACCTTGTCTAAACAATTATTTATTGGAGTAAAACAGGAACCTGTCTTCCTGACATCATATATTTCATGTATTAAATTATTAAATAAAGTATATTAGTCCAATAAATAGTACTATAGCCTTTATAACTAGTCTGTTTCATTCAAAACCTAATGAGTGCTTTTCACCCACAGAAAAAAAGCATTAACTAGACATTCTGTACTCTTGACAAACTGACTCTGCTGGGTCTGCCTTTACTTTTCCTGCATTACATGGGTAACTTGAAATACATTATTACCACAATCCAATCATAGAAAAATATTATGCAGCATTTGGAAGAATATTTCCTGTCTTCATTGGCAGCAATTGACTTGATATAGTACCTCATGTGAAACTTTATATTTCATCATAATATTATTAGCACATGATATCTGAGTGGTTACTAGGATATAGGTTTTGAAGATCTCCAACTGGAAAAAATATGCCACAGTAAAGAAGGTATTTTACCTTCCTCCAAAGCATCCTAATTTGAAGTGGCACAAGGTTTCATGTAAGATATATAACTCCATTCATGCACAATATATAATTTTGCCAAAAGTTTTCTCTTGGGAGCTGCATCTTTAAATAGCTCTACCTTGAAGAGGTAGAGCTGATTCTCTGTCATGCAGAGACTCATGAAGTGGAGCAGAAATCTGTTAGGCTTCAGGCATTTGGCAAAGCAATTTTCTCTACCTTTTACCTTCTGAACACGTATCAAAACAACAGTATTTTTCACAACTGAAAAACATAGTAATAGATTTTACCAGAAGACTACTGACCAAATTGGATAAGGCAAGGGAAGGAGTGATATGAAGGAATCTGGGATGGTATCTGTAGCTCAGGACCTCTTTGATAAGCAGCAACTGAGACCTACTGTCCCCTGACAAAATTGCTGATGCTGATGCATCAAAGACAGACAGGAGACGTCAGTCATGTTCTATGAGTAGTTCTCAACAAAAGTCTGATGCTGGATGCTTGGGTGCAACATTTAAATATTGGGGATTTGATTTAATTTTCAATGGCAGTATCACTAAGCACTTCTGAAAATGATCATCCTCTATAGCTATATAACTGTCTGAAATACCTGAATTTACATTCAGATCAGCAAAGCAACCTCAGCAAATTGCCCTAAGGATTTCTATATGGCAAGTGTGCTACACTGGATGAGAATTTATCCTTCTTCCTTCATTAGCTTCGTGAATTCATCCTGTTTTCCTTTTTACAGAATAATAATAATACAAAATTAGATTAAACATGTTAATCTCGCCAAGCAGCTCCTGCCTGCTATATGGACTCTCATAGACTGTGTTCTACTATACTATTTCAGTCAAGTGTTGCAATTTTGAAGACAGTTCATCTACAACAGCTATTTGTGTTCATTCTTGGATTTGATACAGTGCTAGTCCACCTCGCTACTGCATACTGCAAGGACTACTGTATCTCAGATAATATGTCTGGCCATTCTTGGAAGCACTGAAATGACTGGTCTGAACTTCCTTGACATTCTATTCCTCAGCTTCCTCCTTATCTCACTGTTTCAAACTCATGAATTCCACAATATCCTGCAGGGATTAAATAAATAAATACATACATACATAAATAAAAAGACCCCAAAGGTGTATATCCCATAAATTCCATGTTGAATGTTACTTTGTCCAACAATATGGACCGAAGATTCATTTATGTTGCCTAGTAGGAATTCCAATATCTTCCTAGAAGTTATTAATTCTCAAAATACTGTAACAACATACTGTATCACAGTGAAAATACAACTTTCCCCATAAAGAATCTTTCTCCATTCATAAACACTTTGATTCACAATCCTATTGAGAAAAATAAACATGAAGACTCAAATAGAAGCCTTATGATTCACAAGAGGAAAAAGAGAAGAGAAAGCATCCCATAGAGAAAAAAATACAGATAATACAATGACAGTTACTATTTTGTTGGTCCACTATCACTACAATCCATCATCAGCATCTGAACACTTTTGCTAGACTGATTGTGAATTTCTAGTCTGTATCTTTTAATGCAGCCTCATTACAATCTCCTTAACAGCACACAAGCAAGAGACGGTGTTATTAGCTGCCAGAAATAATAAGATTTTTTTTTAGCAGAAGAAAGACTCTTTAAACAATATATTTCTTCAGGGAAATTCATCGAGGATGAGAGCAGTAACAGAGTCATTCTTCATAGACTATTGTGGAAAGCACAGCTTTGCTAAAATCTGTGTGAAAGACAAAGACCACACTATGTGGCCAACTTCTGACAAGTTGTCAGGGCTATCCTACTGTGTTTTTATGTAACAATCTTAAATGGAGTATCTGTCAGTTCAATCACAAGTTCTGTCTAAAATTCTGAAGCTTGCTAAATTTTGGGGAAGATTAAAAATTCCAATTTAATCCAAAAAAAATCATTTGGATAGAGAAAGCAGATGAACTTTTCAAGACTCCTCATTGCCACAAGCTTACTGAAAGCACTAGTATGTCTTGCTTATGTATACAGCTATAAGGGACCACTTTATAGGTGTATATCACCTGTATATCACTTGCATTCAGGAGCTTAACGATTATTGTGGCAGATACTATTATTTTTCATTAGTAGAATTAAATATATTCAAGAGACATTGGGTTTAGTCTAAATCAGCAACTATAAATGATACCTGCCCTGAAACAGAATTTTCACTTTTCAGTCTATGCTTTTTATGTACCATCTCTAAACAGTGAGCTAGCTGACAGCATCTTCAGATATTAGGTATTACATAATTCTTGGCAAAATTATTGGCAACCTGCAAGGGGAACAAGAACATTTGCACTGCAAATTTTTATACAAAAGAGAATCATCTTCTATAGATGGACTAAGGAAATTCATTTAAAAGAAGATTGTTATTCATTATACTAGACATCTCTTTCAGTAAAACCTGTCAGCCACTGATGACCAGGACCGGTGGAGAGATCAATTGGTGTGTTAGTCACAACTAGAAGGAACTTAATTTTCTTCTTGAGCCAACTCTGGATCAGAGCCACAAACTTATCCCAAAAGATTCTAAAGACCAGCATAAGATGCTTGAACTAATCCAGAACAGATTTCCTTTACAACAGCAGAGTTACCAGAAAAACAGCAGTGCAAAGTAAAATAGTGCATGCAATACACAGCTCAAATTACCATTACGTGTCATTTTAAGGGAATTTTCATTTGCAATTACTAGACAGTGAGACAACGAAAAAAACAACAGTCCTTCTGGCACAGCTCTCAGTGCACATATTATTCTTCAAGACGACAACCACTTTGCCTCTTTAGTCCCCAAGTTGTCAATAACACTTATAGAGCTAATGGATGAAAAACTGTGGATTTCTGTTGCAAAGAAAACATCAATAAATCTTCTCCTTCCTCTCTTCATACTTACTATTTGTTTATCTGCATATCAATTTTATTTCAAGGGCTTTACTTCACCAAGTGGTTGACACAGCCATGACAAAAATGGAATTTCAGTTACTTTTAACAAATAATATCTCAGAAGAAACAACTAACTCTGAAGGGCCATTTGCAACTTCATTTTACGTCCTTCCTTTAAGTAAAAAGCTTCAACACAACTAGGTTTTATGGACTCAACATGCAGAAAAAGAGCATTCCTTCAGAATAAGTCAACATTTACTTCTCCAAACACATGAAAGGATATGATATATGGACTGGATATGATATATAGACTTTGGAATTGAAGATAAGAATATATGGATGGTTCCATATATAAATTTAATATGTAAAATAAATACGACATTCAAGTAGGCTGAAACTGATATATTTGATATACAGCAAATAATTTCTAAAGTATTTAGTTCCAGGTATGCACCATTGCCTCTCACTTATATATTGCATCTGTACCATTTTGTGTACCTACTAGCAGACCTGTACCAACCTCTTACAGTGACAGAAAATTAGTTTGATGAGGTTGTTTAGGTTGGAACTTCCACTCTATGTCCAGCTCTTTCTGACAGACACTTAAGGACGAAGAGCATGTCCACTGTTTTAAACACCAGATGTGCTTGAGGAAGAGAGTAGCAAAGGTGGATTATTTGCTGTATTTGCTAAAATTTCTAGAAAAATTGTTGCATTCTTTCTTAGAAGTGTTTTCTACAAATAATTTTTTGGACTGTCATTGCTACCAAGCTGGACTGAACTATCTCTGGTATATCAACAAGGAGGCTACTGCTCAAAGTAAGTCTCTAAAAACAATTGCTTTCCT